CGTATGTGCATCGGTGAATACGCGAGCGTACATTGCCTGCCGTATTTCAGCGGGATCACTCTCCGAAGAGAAGTGACTGAGAAGTACTTCCTTCCAGTACTTCCAATCTTTATCGGGCTTTCTCTTTTTGTGGTCTGCGTACCACAAATATACATCATCCTTGAGTGAGTTTGACAAACCTTTGTCGATCAGTTGCTTGTCATCCCAACCATTCAAATCTTGGCAGCGCTCGCAGTCAAGTATGAATTTCTCCACTTTTCCACTTCCTGCGTGCCCTTATAGTTTTGTGGATAGTGAGTTTTTTCTTTCGTACCTTTACCACTCTTCTCAAACTTTTCCATCAGCGCTATACTGCGCTCAATCAACTCGTTTGTACGAGTATTTTCACGCGGTTGTTCGTGATGATCGTACTGCGCATCATCCCACTGCGCGTCTTCTGCTCGGCGCATATCTTTTTTGTACTCGTAATCATTATTACGTAAGGGTACATAATCACGACTGCGGTGGGTTTCCTTAAACTCCACCCGACGGCTGGAATCTGCCTGCGACGGTTGACCAGCTGTTGACTTCGGAGCTGCATCAAATGCCGCTTCCCGTTCAAATGTACTGATATGTACCCGGGATTCAGCTTGACCACTGACACTCTTACCTTTAGTTTTTAAACTGTCTTCCTACTGCTGCAGCCAAGCCTCCCACTCGGCTAGCTGTTTTTCACGTGTTTTGGCTTTATCGAACTCATCTTCGATGCATATCCATTGACCTTGCAGATCGTCACGTTCTTTTTTCAGCTCCGCATCGACTCGAGATTCTTCTGCTTTTAGTTTAACTTGCAGATCATCGCGTTCTCTCTGAGCACGCACAAGGTCACGTTGCAGTTTATCACTGTTGACCATTGAATCATGACACTGCTTTTCCAGGTTTTTGTTTGTATTGCGTACTCGATCAACTTCGTCTTTGTGTTTATCATTTTGAGTACGTAAATTAAAAATGTCAGTATTCAACTTTTTCACATTTTCTTTGCACTCTTCGTCGTGCTTCTTCATCTTTTCTTCCAAATCATTTATTTTTTCATCTCGTTTCTTCACATCTCCCTTCAAGGCATCGTTGTCATCACTTAGTGTATGACACCACGTGTTAGCCTTTACAAACTTCATGTGCATTTCTTCCGTTGCATTTAAACCGGCTTTAGCGATCTCTTTCATTTCAATGAGATCTTTTTCATTTTCAATTCTGCCTTCCCATGCCAGAACAGTGTTGTCAAACTGTTCTTGATCAAGAGCAAACTGTCTCACTGCAGCATGTAATGGATGTATCACGTCCATCGTTTTATCACGTTCATCGCTCTGACCGGGAGCCACTGTACTACGCTGAAAGAACGGCTGTGCTGATAGTGGTTCAACCCCACCAGTTGGCACATCTTCATCAATGATACTCGCATTCATATCTTTGTCGATATTGGTGGCAACTGTGTTATCAACTTCCTGCTCCTTACTATGCTGTACAAGAGCAAAAGGGGAAACAACCTTTTCCACAGTTTCACCAGCATTTTCATACGCATCTGCAGCTGCACTTTGAACAGCTTGCACTTGCGAGGTAAACTTCTGCATCGCAGCTTTGTACGCTTCAACAGTGAACAATTTTGTAATATTTTGCGGCAGCTCTCTGTGCTCCAGCCACACTCGCCAACCTGTCGGCGGCTTTCCTATTTTGGCTTCATCATTGTCGTAAGTTACGAAATCTTTGCCACATATTCCTGATTTAGGGACTGCGATATTCAGTTCATTCAGGAATGCTTCGATTTTAAAGCCAATTGGCACGATAAACTCATCCGGTATCAGCTCTGCTGCACCTTGCTTTACTGTTTGTCTTGTAAACTTCGGTTGCACTACCGGCTGTGACGCCGTGCTTTTCGAAATATCCATTCTTCAGATTTTTCACTTTTCGTCTTTGTTCAGCGCTCGTTGCACTGACTTCTTCTGTTTAAATCCGAGAAACTTCTTTTGTTTCACCCGGATACTTCAGCTACGCCTTTTGTTCTCCGTGTTCGTTAACACAGGCTTCTTTTGTACAGCTCAAGCACTGCTTTTGCTGTCTACACTTTAGCTACGCTCAAAATTTTGTGTGCACACTTTGTATGCTTCGGCACTGCTCTCAGCATACGTACTTCAGCTTTAGAATTCTGCTTTCGACTCTGTCTACTCGCAGTTTCGTTGCGCAAGTTCTGCTTCAGATTTACCAGGAACACGTCTGTTCGCTGGATAAGAATTATTCGGGAACATTAATCCCTGGCCAGGAGAATTGAGTCCCTACTGTAGTTAGATTTTACCCAGATCTGTGCTCACGATCGATATACAGGTTATCCCTGCATCGATCAGCTGGCAGGACAAACTGCACAGCGTCCAGACAGAGCAAAGCTCCCGGACAATTATTTTTTCGTCGTGGGTCGCAGGCACAGGCAGAATTGGCTCACCACCAACCCACCTGTCGCCAGTACCCGGACTACTTATTTAAGGCGTCCGGTCGGCAGAGATCTGCCCGGACATCCGTCCAGTCAGTACCGAAGTACCCGGACTGAGCACCTGGGAATCAATATTTCACACAATTCACATATTACTTAGCTTGGCCTAGGAAAGGTTCGAACTGACGGTGGGTGCCATGACGGAGAGACGAGTACGAGAGGGATAATACCGTAATATCAATCCTACCGACCTGACTCAACGACAGAGAATGAGCTGATAATTTCAATGTGGCATAGCCTAGAGATATGTGTAGAACTACGATCTACGCGAAGCGAGAATACACTGCATCCCGACGATATATTTTTAATAGAAAAACTCCGACACTGCCCAACTTCAGAATGAGAGAACTCACCCAATAAACGGCAACTCTCGGACTTATATAGACGCGAAGTGCGTCCGGTTAGAAAAGCCAAAAGTATATCCGAGAACAAAGGAAAATGCTAGAAAGTGCAAACATGTACGAGTACTGATGGAAAACGTACTGTACTAAGCCGCTACCGTACACCGTATTCCGTCACTGACAGGCCACTTGGTCCTGCTTTTACTCGACTTTTGTTGCACTGTTTATACCTCCGGCAAAATTACACATACACAGAATATGAGCTTTAGTGTGCATGAAATTAAGGTAAATGTGGCTGCCACCCATTTCGCCTACAGGACATTTCGCATACGGGACATTTCGCCTAACAATTTGATTCGAATCATAAATAACACTGAAAACAGGGGCAGTGCTATATTTCCGAACTGAGAGTGTACAAATGCAGCTAAGGAAACATAATTATAAAAAATTACAGAAGAAAACGTAGGGAAAAATAAGAAAACACACAAAAAAGGAAGCCTAAGAAAACCTGGGATCACGTAAGAAAACCTAAGAAAACCTAAGAAAGCATGAAAATATAAGAAGAAATAAGAAACCACAAGAAAACGCTTTTGCTATTAGCATTATTTTAGATTCGAATAAAATTTTTGGGCGACACGACCGTGAGAAAAACGACACGGGGCTCTGGTTTATTTCCCGGAAGTGAGCAAAACGACCTTCGCTTTATACGTAGTTTATACTCGGGATTTAGTTGATCAGAACGCAGAAATTTTAGATTTAACTTCAATCTGAATTTGCGCGCTACTTCTTGTTGGGTGTGATACCTTTTGGATATTTCCGACAGGAGATATCCATGTGAATGTTATTACTAATTAAGGCAAAACACGTGCAAACGCAAAGTAAGCTATGAATTTATTATCTCTTACGCAGATTGGCATAATAGTCGAATACTGAGAACGCATATGCAGACTAACATGAATTTATTTTCACGTAGTGTGTTCTACTATGATCCTGTTTACCTTGAGGAAGTCCACATTTCGTTTCATGAACATGACGGTATTACGGCAGGAGCCGGCAATCTATTGTTAGGCTATCTAAACATAGCGTCGGAATCAGAGTCAAATGTAAACGTTTCAACGCAAGAGATTTTAACGTGCCCACATATCGTACATCAAAAATATTATAAAGAAATCCATTCCTGTTAGCTGATACCGCTTGGTTTCGTCTGCTTGTGTCGTCACAAGTCATACTTTATTATCAGTTTTGATTGATAAGGAAGCAGTATTACATACTCATACGTATCTGTATAGTTATTAATAATTAGTTATGTACAGCCATCCCCCGCCAGTACAGTTCACGTAATAGAGTATATGAGAATTTCGGTTACCTATTTTTATCAGCGGTTTGACTAGTGTACACTGTACAGGTATATGCTTTACACAAATTATTCATACAATGTGTATGTAGATGCAAATTTGAGTACAATACAATCACTGTTTGTGTCCACTTTCCAGTAGTATAACGTCTAATTCCTGAGTCGGTCTACTGGAGAGTGAGAATTATAATGAGTTTAGAATTGCTGCGAAAAATGTTTATGTGCGAACAATTTTGCATGCTATAGTACAGTACTGTGCTGAAATACGGCTATCCAGAAAATAATTGGTAAAACCAATTGAATATGTTAGTAAACGTTCATATTTCCAGTTGATCTCATAAAATTAGATCGAATGTGTTTTGGCTTTGACAGAAGTGTTTAATTACTTTATCGCTGGCGTTGATTTACGGCAGCCATCGCAAGTTAAACCACGAAATGAGTGTGCGGAGAAAACTGAATATTTCATTCTTTCATCAATCAACTGCACCCGATTAACCGATTACAGTATCATGCTGCTTTTCGGTTAAACGCGAGGCATATTCCAGCGGCTACTCGTAGATCTGTGAGTGCCGCGTCTACCGCGATTGTAAGTATTTATAACGCGCCTTGTGGACCTGTGGTTCTGTTTTATGGCATTACCGCAAAATGCAATGTGACCTTTTCAAATTGTTTATGCGGGCACTTACTTAAGCACTTCGTGCATTGTCGATAATGGTGTTAATGGTGATTAACACTTTACGTGTTAAACTGACAGTGTACTGGCAAAATTTTCGAGAACCATGCAGTAGACCAAAAACTTATTAGTTGCCACATTTTATGCGGCATCTGCCAGGTTTTATTGCTTGCCAGTTGCCAGAGTCTCCAGGTTTTATCGCTCGCCATGCCATTGGCAGTGCCACTGGCAGGTGCCAATGCCACGTTTTACCCCCAGCCCCGACGCAGCCGTGCAACATGTACATGCAGTACGCGGGCTTATGGGCTTATCCTTGTCGTCGTACAACGTCACGCTGGGAAATTCATGCGACAGCATGTACTGGAAGACCTTTATCCATGATGGGTTAGCGTAATGGCATTCTTGGACGATCTGTTCGGCGTCCTCAGCTGTTAGGATTCCCAGTTTCAGGTCATCGCGCATCGGATACCTAAAAGCCATGATTACCGCCATAAACGCTTATTACTGTATTTGCGCTTCAACGCTTATTACTGTATTTGCGCTCATTTAGATAAGTAACTGAAGATGTCAAATGCCACACTGCAAAATGTGACGATTTCCTTACCGATGGATTTCGCAACGGCTCAGGTTGAAATTAAACACACGTTCTCCTGTTGGACACCCTTCTGCTGGAGGTATATGTTTAAAATCACGATCTTCCACTGACAACAGTATTTGTGCAACAGTCGGATCCACGTCTACAAGAACTTTGCAAAATAATTATCTTTGAAAAGTAAGCTTCGTTTATACGGTTTCGTTAATACCGATAAACGTCATATCCTTGCCCCAGTTAAAAAGTTCCGGCACATTCCACTGCATGGCCCAGAAAACCCGGCATTGCTCGGATTGGTTGGAATGTATAAATATCAGCAGGTGGTCATTGAACTCCGGGATATAATCGCGGGTCGTTTTGCTACGCACAGGTTTGCAGACGCAGACCGACGGTGTCTGCATTTTATCGACGATGAATTCCATTTTCGGGTATGAGAAACGGTTCTCCAAAATATTGCATGCGATGTGGTAAACCTGAATACATGGCAAAACAAAAGTTTTAAAATTAGTATTGGTTTGCATAAAACGTTTTGAGCCATAACACAGTATAGAGCAGTAAGATCGGTTTTACCGGCAAGCTGTTTGGAAACTGCTGCTCCAGCCATGGTAGGATGCTTCTTAATTTAGTCTTGGATAGCTTTATCTGACCCATTCCTCGAGCTTCGTTCAAAACGTAAAGTTTGAAAAGTTATATAGCAACATCACGCAACAGTGTGCGTAAAACATGGAGCAGAAGGCTAAAGCTTTCTGTTTGGTTAAGTTGTAAATATTCAGGTTTACTTGACCTCACCATAGAGGCATAAACAAGTTGTTTATTTCAAACATACACAACAGTGTACACAAGTCAGCAGTTTCAATGGTTCTTCCAACCCGATGCGCACCTATACTGCGGGTGTAGCTATAGTGGGACGTCGAGAGTACGTATGCACATTGCGCAAACTTATGCATATCCCGGCCGGTAGTATCAGCATGGTAACAAGAATAGCAGACATGCTAATCAATTATCGTTTAATCGCTTATCAGTATTTTTTACCATTATGATATGTCGAGTAGCAACTTTCCGATGTGTTGTCGAAGTCTAACTTGTTAGTTTTTCGAAATAAAATGTGAAGCACAATTGCAACTAGAATGTGAAGCCTGGTAATCGTGCAAGAAGTACTATAACAAAAATATAGTGTGATGAATAATAGCGATGCTCCGCCAGAAATGAGAATGCAGAAGATCGCTCCAGACTGCGCCAATGGTCGGATCATCAAGGAGTCGCTACAGTAGAGATTGCTTTTTTTAGTGAGTTTTATCTTCCGCTTCCAGTGTTATACCAAATGGATATTCCGGCTTATCGGAAATTTTTCCACTGTGTTCAACGACGCACCCGGTCCTCGTGATCTGCCAGGTTTACCGAATGACAGGATTTCTCGGATCTTTCGATTGCTCGATTCTTTCGGGTCGTAAAAATCGCTATCGGCACTCCCGTCTTCTTCAGTTGCTGATTCGTAGATTTGCAGACCACAATCATCGTCAGTCAAGTTTTCGTTGTTCGGCCTCGGCCCCGTTTTGCGGCGAATGTGCTGTCGATCGGGAGCAACTTGAAGAGGACCACGATAAACACGTGGCGCTCTGTACGTCATCCAGCACATAGCATAGCCGCGCCTGAACTCTTCCCCGCCAAAACCGCGAATAACTTCCAGCTGCGATGCTAATGGAAAATTCATGGTCTGCATCCAAACCGACGGTATCTCTCGTGTCTGAAGCCACACCAGTAATTCTCCGAGCACAAGGCGGAACAGATTCCGGTTACGATGGGAAGGGTGCACGTAGACGGCGCTGATGCAGCCGTGCGGCATGTACATGCAGTAGGCGATGGGCATATCATTGCTGTCGAACAATGCCATGCTGGGATAACCATGGAACAGCAGGTACTGGAAGACTTTTATCCAGGATGGATTAACGTAATGACATTCTTCCACGATCTGCTCGGCGTGATCAATCCTGAGGCGTCCCAGCATCAGATCATCGGGTACCGGATATCTAAAAGAGTAAAAGCGTTTGACTATGCTTTTCGGGAAGTGATTCAACTGCCTCAGTCAGCTGAGGGGACGGATTATCTTATATTCGAGGGGATGGACAAGCCGGGTGATTAATCTCTTGTGTGAAGGATTAAAGTGCAGCTAATATTGTACATATGAAGTGCGATGCTGGCGCTTTGTAATGATATATTTAATTGATTCTACAACGAAATATTATGATAAATGAATTCGATTGATGAATCCCTCGATTTTACGATAGAATGATATGTTTATACGATACCAATATTAATTTTGACGTGCATTAATCATGCCAAATGCGCGTAACGTGTAAAAGTGTGGCGTAGCTGGGCGTGTAGTTGCGGTGTTACCCATCAAGCTGTATTTCTGCTTATAATTCACCGGGCTTATAGGTGTACGTACGTGGCTTTCGAATTCGGTCTCTTTCTGGAGTGTATCAAACAAAAACTACCCGTACTAAAGATCATCCTTACCGTTGGAATTCACAACGGACCAAGTCGAAATTAAATACTAGCTCCCCGTTTGGACGTCCTGCTGTTGACGGTACTAGTGCGAAATCACGATCCTCGAGGGATAGCAATATTTTTCCAACACCGGGATCCACATCTACCAGCAGTATGAGTCTATGAGATATTATACGGGCACCCACTTCAGAAATCTAATCTTGTGAAAACCACTTGGAAATACATAGAATTATTTTTTTATTTGATGTATCGTCTAATACCGATGAACGTCATATTTCTGCGCCAATTAAAGAGTGCCGAAACGTCCCGTAACATAGCCCGAAAAGCGACAAATTTCTTGGCTGGCTCGGCATATACAAATACCAGCTGGTGACCGTTGAATGCCGGGATATAACCTCTGCGAGCATCTGTACGTGACAAACCGTGAATGCACATCAGTTTGCAGACAATCACAGACGGCGTGGGCAGTTTATCGACGATGAAGATGGTTTTCGGGAAGGAGAAACGGTTTTCCATAATATTACACGCCATGTGGTACACCTTGGTACAAAACATTATGATTAAGCATGGACAACACAGAGATAAGTTTTGGTTTGAATATCATATTTTTTAAAATCATAAGACAGTACATATAGATATAGTTAAGCTAAGGTTTTACCGGCAAGCTGCTTGGAAACTGTTGCTCCAGCCATGGTAGGAGCGTCTGCAATTGTTCGTTCGATAGCGTAATTCGGCGCTTATTTTTCCGACCCATTCTTCATGTTATACGTTCAAAAAGTCATGTTTGAAATGTCGTATCGAATAAACCCGAATTAAATTTGCAACACGTAAACGCGTAAAGCAGAATATGACAGTGCTGTGATAGAGCTGCAGGTAAAGTGAATAGGTACTACGAGTAGGCACTGAGGCAGTAAAACCAACCTAACCATAAAGCACAAACGATCAACAACACCGTGGTTACTTAAACATACTACTCACGATCAGTGTACACATGGTCAGCTGTTTCAGGGATACTTCAGAGCCATAAATTGCTAGTGCAGTCGGAAGTCGAGAGTATGCATAAACGCCTTACATAATCAAGTCGGTAAAACATTAGCACGATGGTAAGTGGAGCAGACATGCTAGTTTATTAACGCTCATCGAAATACAGTACATACCTTTATGGCTTATTGCAATTATTTGATTCAACTGAAGTGTTTGAACTCAAGTCATAATATAAAGTTCCAGTCCAGCTCCGAAACCTGCACAAAGTATATATGATTACAAATACTCATATGAAACAAGTACGATAAAAGTTATAAAACTAAACCGATTTCAAGTACTGTAATGTTCGACCACCAAAATGAAGCAACAATCGGATAGTTACGAACAAAAGCTATATTAACAAAAAACAACAAAGCAGGTCGTACGTCATAACAACATAGTTGGGTATAGCTAGGGAAACACAGCAATCAAAGATCGAAACTGTAAGCAGTGGTAATTGATGCGGACCGGACCGGTTTCCCATTCTTCCCCATCTGTGTCGCTGATGATGCTCGGGTCGTCGATATCACTCTCTTCCCAATCACTATCCTCATTTTCCTCGTCCAGTTCGCCGTCACCAACCATCAGATCGTCGCTCTCCTTGATAAATCCATCTTCAAGCTCATTACTCGCTCGCAAAGATTTGCGACGTCCACTAGCAGCTAGCACCCTCACCGCTTCCCCAGCAGGGTCATTTCCATTATCTTGCTCAATCTGCTTCTCGGCTTCCGAAGACCGCCTACGGCATGTCTCGCGGTCATCGGCACACCAATCCGAAGCACCATCATACCAGTCCTGGAACTCCTTACTAACTTGAAACTGCACATGATCCTCCTGCCGCTCCGTTTCAACAAGGGGTGCAAATGCCGTTGGAGTATAGCGAACCCACGTGAGGAAGGCCGCACCGCCTTTCGTATACTCCGTTCCGCCGAAAACCGCAGATCCGCCAGCTGCTGTTCCAGGGGAAAGTGCATGGTCTGCACCCATGTGGATGGCACTCCAGCCAGGCGCAGTTTAGCTAATAAATGCCCGAGCATGATCTTGAACAGACTGCGATTACGGTAAGCGTGGTGCACGTAGACAGCGCCGATACAGCCATGCAACAGGTACATGCAGTACGCCAATGGTTCGTTCCCGCCACTAAAAAGAGCGACACTGGGAAAGCCGCGGCTCAACATGTGGTGAAAAAGGTAGCGCCATCCTGGATGTCCATAGTTGCAGTTGGCAACGACAAAGTCACGATACGCAACGGTCAATTCTCCCAATCGCAGGTCCGTGGGAGAAGATATGCCGCTAGTCTACCGTCAACTCGGTTTCGGTCCGGTTCGGCTCGGTTTCGGTCCGGTTTTCAGTTGAACCGGTTTGGAGCCGATTGAACCGGTTTGGAGCCGAACCGCGTGAACCGGTTTAGAGCCGAACTGAATTCCCCTTTCTTTTGTTTATTTTTCCCCACCCTCTTTTTGTATGAACATGAATGAACATGATAGCAGATTTATTCATGATATTTACAAGTGAAAAAATAAATTATCATGAACATTGGTAGCCGGACAGTTGGGCTTCTTACATAAGTGATCCCAACGCGGATCAGAGAGAGGCTCAAAATTTCTAAGTTCACATTCGCAGTAATAACATTGAACACAGTCTAGTGAACCAAAATGAAAAAATCCATTTCCAGCTAATTCCATGGGAGAGGGTTTGAGATGTGGCCAGCCTTTGAACGACTCCAAACGCGATCCTAAAGTGCTGTAGTTGCCGAAATCATCGATTTCGCGATCGGTTAGGATGTTGCTGGCGTGTTCGGCAAGTTTGTCGGCTAGCGTAATGCTGTTCTTATAGCCGTCACACAGTTCAAACCATGCCGATGGTATGCTTTTGAGACCATGCCAAGCTCCGGCAATAGCGCCCGCCAGGGTTGCGATTCCGTCCGTACATCCACCAACACGTAGTGTAAGTGCCATGGTTGCTTCAAAAGCATTTTCAGGCGATAGATCGGCTCCTTTGATCACGCAGTAAATAGCCATAGGTACAGCTTGCAGTCCCGCGGAATCATTGCCAAGGGCTTTCACCACAACACTTGTCTCTTGAGACAGCAGCGTTTTTATGTGCACTAATTTTGATTGATACAGCTGAAGGCTAACGCCTGAGTCACACAGAGTGATTAGCATGTCCAGAAACTGTGCGGGAGTAAAGTTCGGATACTGCAATGCTACGGCAACAGCGTAGGCTTGAAGTTCACATGCCCCGTAAGCTTCCATCGTAGGATGTGTAAGTTCGGCGACGTTACGTACGCTGCGGATCATCACTTCTGTCTGATGTTTGAAGTACAGTGGATACGTTGAAATCCACGCAGCAGGACCGTATCCTTTTTGGTATACACGTGGTACGATTTTATTCGGCAATGTGTCAAGGGATTCGAAATTGCTCCACTTCCAGTGATGTATTATATCTTTTAGCTTACCAAAAGCCGAACGTATGACGGGATGTGCATTGTAATATGCGTCAACGCATGCACGAGCGGCACTCGCTGTGTCATAGCCACCGTCATTTAACAATGCGTTACCAAGCGCGTTTGTTAATACAGTTTTTTCACGATGAGAGCGGTAATCTCGAGTATCAACAAACATTTGCGCTACCTTATGGACAATACCATTGTATGCCTTCAAAGGAGCGCACAAGCATTCCCCGAGTAGGCCGCCGACTAAGCAACCGCGAAATTGATCTTTCTCCATTTTCTTTGCAAATGATAATTGTTTAACGCAACCCCAGCTCTTAAATATGGTCAGATAAAACGGTTAGCCCCCAGTTTAATTTCTGACCAATCACAACGCTCATTTCCAAATATTTTTTTTGATTTTCCGAGGTACGTCACAGGCTGTTTGACCAATCAATGTGGTTACGCAGTGTATGGGGGTGTAAATTTTTTCGATTTTTCATCCAATCATCGACATAGTAAACTGTTTCAAGTTTGCCAGTGACGTATGTGTGAAAAAGGCGGGGTTATGCGAGAATTTACAACCAATGGGATGAAAGTTTAGCTTCCTCGGAAACAATCCGCGAGTATAAAAGCGACGCGGCTGAGCTTTTCCTAATCATTCTGCAAAAAGTTGAGAGCAAGTTCTATCATCATAATATCACGAGAGCAAAAATGGATTTCGCACGTATTTTGGATGTTGTCGGTGAACATGACGGCTACACTGTATACAAAGTCAATAGTGTGGTAAGTCTGTTCTGGAATGCTAAAGAAGTACGGGCATTTCTTGTGTTCGAAGCAAATGCGGATGCTGAGGGCTTGCGTAAAGCATGGAATAAAGGGATCCGATTAGGATACAATGAAATTACCGAATTACTGAAGATCTTGAAGAATGGAAATTTGAAAGACACGCTGGATCACGCAGCATCCGAAGGCAAACAGGAGAAAATGAAATTTGATGGCCCTGCCTGCCTGGAGTTGACTCTGAAGGTGCACGAGAAGTACGGGCGTACGATCAGGTTTTCTCAGCCAGGGCGCTCTGTTCAACTGCCATACATGGGATTCATTGATGTGGCCCGAATCCTGGACGATAGTTTTAAAGCGCAAGCTCTTATTGTTTAACAGCGCTTTCTGTTTTCTAACATTTTAAAATTGTTGTTGTTGTTGTTGTTTATTACGAGTTAGCTCCCTTGTTATACGAAAAAAAAGGCTGAAAAACGCCGTTATTTGCGACAGTCTCAGCAGTGAAGTATATAAAGCCTTCTTGCTGACACTGTTGCAAGTAATGCGTTCAGTCATGGAAATCCACAACGTTATTTTGGCGGTGCAGTTCAACAAGGAAGTTGATCTTCAGCAAGTCCTAGAAGTTTTCGGGAAACATGCTACGAAAGTTAAAAATTTTAACGCAGTCAACATTAGACTAATAGGGCAGTCACATACATTTTGCCAGATTTTCCAAAATGGGAAGGCAATCGTAATAGGCGGTAAGTCCGTTGAAGAATCGAATGGGCTATTAGAACAGTATTTGCGAATGTTGATTGTAAATTGTATCGACGTTACTATTAAGGAGCGCTTTGTGGCAAATATAGTCTGTACATACGCTTACAGTGAAATAATAAATTTGAACAAGCTGTATAGCCAAATTTTAAAACAAAAGCCAACGGGTATCGCATTCTTCTATGAACCCGAGCTTTTTCCAGCCATCAAACTACGATTCCCATTATTGAAAACTACCGTTAACGTTTTCCATACTGGAAAGTGTGTAATTCTGGGAGCGAGATCACTGTTGCAGATTCAACGCACAATCAAACAAATTAAAAACCTCCTTGAAAATTACACCAATTCGGTGTCGACAAAGCGGGAAATCTAATCATTTCAGAAACACCATTTGAGAGTTTTTGTGATCGAATATATTGTGAAGTGTTCGATAGTTAGCAGACTAAGTCAAGAGAAATTTAAAATGGAAAAACTGAGTTTTGATTTTCGCTTTAAAACTCCGTGCACCATTTATATTTCTGGACCAACGATGTCGGGAAAATCGACTTTTACAATGAAACTTTTGCAAAGTCTTACGGAAAGCTTTAATCCGTCACCAGTAAGAATAGTTTATGCTTACGGTACGTGGCAAGATGCCTTCCAGGGTTTTGATAAAAATATTGAACTTATCCAAGGGCTTAGACCCATCTTAGAAGATGAAAATTTTTTTGACAAAGACGTTCCGAGTCTGTTAGTGTTAGATGATTTAATGGAAGAAATTGCGGGAACACCAAAGTGTTCGACGATTTTTACTCGTGACGTCCATCACAAAAATGTTTCTGTAATTT